GCCACCCCATCCAGCACCAAAGATGACAAAATCCGGGATACAGAGGAGCCATTAACCCACAACCACTCCGTCTTACCAGGGTTCAGCCGAAGCCTGTTGTTCCCCATCCAGACCCTTACAGCCTCCAGGCACCACGAAAGGCCAGTCATGGCATCACTTACTTCACCAGGGATGGAGATGTATAATTGCATATCATGATGATACCTCATCCCATGATGACGGATGATCTCACCCAGTGGTTTCATGTAGATGTTGAAAAGGAGCGGAGAGAGAACCGAGCCCTGCGGCACCCCACAAAGGAGGGGCCGAGGATGGGACCTCTCGCTCACTATCACCACCGATTGGGATTGGCCCTGGAGAAAGGAGGCGAACCAGCACAAGACCGTGCCGCCCACCCCCAATTCCCTGAGTCATCCCAACAGGATACCATGGTCGACGGTATCAAAAGCCACTGAGAGATCAAGGAGAGCAAGGATGGTCGCACTTGCACCATCCCGCTCCCGCCAGAGATCATCCATAAGTGTGACCAGTGCCATTTCCATTCCATAACCGGGCCTATGAATCATAATTAACTTCTCACCATGACTGATTAAGGTGTTGGATTAGAACCCAGGAGTCCAGGTTCAACTCATCCTCTGCCATGGAAGATCTTTGGTTGGCCTTGGGTCAACCTGAGTCACTGTCTCTTAGCCTAATCTTTCTCACTGGGTTGTGGTGGGCAAAAATTGAAGGAGAGCATATTATATATTGCCTGCAGTTTCTTCAGGAAAGGTGGAATCAGCCACAAATCTACATATAACATTATGGCTTAAGGGGGAAAGTGTGCAGAGGAAAGGCAGAAGGTGTTGTTGCAAAATACCTTCAAGTTCTCTTGGGTGAAACTGATTATTTAAAACCTTCTTGACCTGGGTTTTGGCCTGACCTGGAGCTAAAATTACTACTGCGCTACTTTTAACACCTTTAAGCATGATAATGTCCTGTAAATTAACCTCTCCATATTTTCATTTTCTTTGAAGTGGTTCATCTCTTACCTGGGAGGTGTTAGTAGTAAGTGTTTTTGGCAGATTATCATTTTAGTCCAAGGTTACTGTACTGTGGAATGCCACAAGGTTATTTTCCACAGTGGGTCTGCTAACAAGAGTTTGGCTGTCAAGTTCTGCAGGAGGTAGAGGCGAGGAAGAGAAGAAATTTACCAGAAAATCTGTACATTTTGAGGGACTTAATAGGGTGTAGTTGTGTAGGGTGAAAAGGTAGTCTCTTGAATAGCTGTTGATTACAAGGGGTGTGTCCTAAGAGCTGTTGATTGACCATTGTGAATCATTGTGTGAGTGCTTTTGGTAGAGCAAGCAGAGGCTGTTGTGGAGACTGTTGGAGGAATATAAAGTAGCCAGTTTCCAGGAAACAGAAAACTGAGCAAATGAACAAAGAGCTAACAGGAGTTTGGAGTGCAGTTTGGCAGAGAATTTTAAGGAGGAATGTGTAACAAATTTCTCTCTAAGTCAACAGTGTGCATTTGGCTACCTTTAGATCCTGAGAAAGGAACATGAATAAATACAAGCCTTTCTACTAAGACTGTGCATAGCTTTCAAAAGAGATACTTTGTAAAGTATGTTAGTGTGAACAAAGCACCTCTCATCAAAGCATTAAAGCAGCTTCATCCTTTGGGATGATCAGTTGCTCCAAAGGTTGTCTCCACAGTCTGTACATCTGTGTGCATGCACTAGAGCAATTGCACACTGAAGAAAACGAGGGAACAGAAACTAATGCATGCTAAATGGATAATTCTGCTTGTAAGCTATGCTGTCAGCCAGAAGTATGTATGCAGAACAGCTTCAAAGTCCACTGACAATTCCCTCTTTCAGGTAACACATATTGAAGATCGAGAAGGAAGCTCAAGAACCTTAGAGCTTAGGTGGTGTTTCATAATTCCATGTTTTTATACATCCATCTGAACTCCATTGGCTAAGGTGTCATTAGTATGCAGATGATACTCATCTCTGTTCCCTTCACAGGAAGACACTGAACCTTTTGAGACTATCTGATGGACGTTTGGTTTGGAAGGAAGTAAAATGTAATGGGGCTGTAGGCTGCTGAAGCAATAGGTCTGCAGATTGGGACTTATATTTGCACCTGAACACTAGAGCTGGGACATGGGCTGTCTTTTTAATGAACGGTCCAACCCTGGCCTCAGTTATTCCTGCCCAGCCCTTCCAGGATATAAAGCACTTTATACAAGCTATCCTTGAAGGCAGCCCAGACACTGCAAATGACTGAGAATTGTCAGTTTTATTATCAAGCCACTTTTCTCTGGCCATTTCACTCAAAGTAATTCACAAGGTCAAAGAGAAAGAATTAAGTAGCATGTTCCAAAAGCTCATTAACAATACAACAGCAGAGGAGGCCTTTCCAAGCCAGGGAAGATGAACCAGATAGGCCCCTGGGAGGAGATCCCCTTCCAAGCTACATGGAATTAGGTCTTTGCCAGTTTCACTATTTTTTCTTGTGCTCCAGCTCAGCACAAGTAGGTGGCTTTGATCCGTAAAGGCCTCAATAGCCAGAATAACATAGGATGGCCCCCCTCCCACTTTGGCAAGGGTTCCACACCATCCAAGAGAAAGATGAGCATTGAGGAGAAGACCTTGATTGCAGTGAAAGCATCTTTTGTTATACACCCGCCTCTCTCAAGCAATGTCTGCATTTACTGCATATTCTTCTTGTCTCACTCAACCGGTATGGACTTTCTTATCATTATATTGTTTTAATTATTGAGATTGGCTATAATAAAAGAATCTTGCAAGTCTCATTTTGCTGTGCCTCCTTTTCCTTCTTATACATCAGACAATTAGGGAAGCGTTTGCCTGAGCCCCTTCCGAATGTTATCTCACTGTTCTGGACTTTAAAATGCTTCAGCCCTTTTGCCTAGGCAAAGGCACATTTGTATCTCTGTCAAGATCATAATCTTCCTTACTCTCTACTCCTTCGCCCAGGCTGAGAGCTTTCATGACCTCCCCCTCTCTGAGCTGAGCCTCTCTCTCTTCCTAGGACCACAATATTGGCTGCGGTCGCCTTCCTCGAGGCTTTCCAAAAAGTTGCAGACATGGCCACCAACACAAGAGGTAAGGTGACATCTTGGAGTTTTTGGGGGGCTGAGGCAGAAAATAAGCATGTAAAATTGTGTGGGGATGCACAGAGTACCCATCTGGGAAGCCCCTTTCACTGCTTGGAGAGAGGGGAACTTCACTGATCCAACCCCAGCTGGGCCCAGTTCTGGGAGCCACCCCTGCTGTCAGAACAATTCAGTGAAGTTGGAACCAGGGCCAAGAAGGGCACCAGAGAAGATCTTCCAAGGAGATAGTGAATGCCTTCAAGCAGAGGCCAAGGGTTTTAACTTGGGCTCACCCTGAGGCCGCCCAGGGGCCCCTCTAGCTCTGAGATTTTGTGATTCCATGTTTGGTCCATCCACTGTGGGTATTGTGTTCTCTCCAACAAGGTTTTGGATGGCTATGAGTTGAACAGCCATTTGATTGAGAAGCAGGCATACCGCTTTTATGAGACATTTCCATTTTTATTTTCGGTTTGGTGCTGTGGTTCCTGGAGAATTTTCATTACGAAAAATGAAAATTTCAGAGCATTTTTTCCCCTTATGGAGCCCCAGAACAGAGAGAAGCGGCATGTTCAGGATATTGTGTGATTGCAGGTGAATTTCAGTCTGTATCTGAGATCAGTGTGGGACAGAGAATTAGATGCACTGACTATCTCAGAGGAACATGAATGTCATCTTGGTTCTTGCTCGGGGCTCTGCAGATACTGCAGAGAGCTGATTTCTGCTGCAGGACTTGTCCCTCCCCTCCCCGTGCATGGATGTGTTGCACCAATCTGGCATACTGCGTAGGCCAGGCACACGCAGGATTCTTTCAACCGACTGTGCACGTGTGTGTGTGTTGATCTGGCCTGGGGCAGATTCACCTCAGCTGGAAAGTAGGTTAAAGGCAGAGATCAAGGGGGAAGAGCCTCAAAGCGGGGAGAGGGTGGGGATCATTTCTCTTGGGTCCCCCCTACATGTGCCCTTTAACACTGCTGCTTCCCAGTTTTTAAAATCACACTGTTCAGTAACTGCAGCCAAACGAAAGGTGAGTGCCTGTCGAGTCACCACATCCGTGGCTGGTTAGTGTCACCTCCCTGGTCTTGGCAGACTTCCCTGCAAGGGACGCCAGGAGAGAGGCGCTGGAAAGGCTGCAGCCCTTGAGAGGACAGAGGCGTGGGGAGAAAAGGCAACCCCCAACCGCCACTAGAAGGCTCGGCCCCCGGTTGCAGCTTCTGGGGAGCGGGAGGGGGATTTTGGCTCAGATGTCACCAAATAGCTGGCGAGGTGGCAGAATATTGGGCCGGATGGGTGGCGTTGTTGCGTTTCTTTCGTCTTGAACTCCTCCAAGAGATCCCTCAGAGTTGAACCCTGAGCAGAGCGCAAGGGAGGCACAGACCCTCATGCTGTTGATTGGCTTGGCAGCCACGAAGACACCTGGAGGCGCTGAGGTCTGTGAGCCACCAGGCCAGCACGGGCAAATCCTGCCCACAGCAGGTAGTGTAGAATCCAGGGAGTAGGGTGGTCTTAGGACACTGGGCTAAGTTGAGTCAACGGAGGGAAAGTGGGCAGTGGTACGAGGTCCCAGTGCAGGGGGCCAGGAGGGAAGGCCCAGAGAAGCACTCGCCAGATGCCCCGTGGTCCTTTTCTTTTCTTGGGGGAAGGAAGGTGGCCACTAAAATCCTCTAGTCAGCCTAGGGATAGAGGGAAGATGCCCCTTAGGGCAGAGGCTCTGCCCCCCACACTCCCTGTCCGTTTCTGCCCAGCTCTGCATCTCCCTCTGTTTCACCCCCAAAGGTATGAGGGCAGGTGAGGAAATTCTAATGCAGGTGAAGGTTCCTCTAAAGGTTTCTCTAAAGGTTCCTCCAGATCAATCTGTAGCAGCAGGTAAGTCTTAGAAAGCTTCCCCGAACGTGCTACCGCCCACACTTGTGCTGCTGCGCAGATCCTGCTTGCAAACAAATGTGCAGGTGCTCAAAGAGGCCAGTGGGAAGATCTGAGTCAAGGAGCATCCAGCAGCACAAGTCTAGATGATGGGCGTTTTACGTGCTTAAAACACAGCAAAACGTAACTGTCTTAGCCTAAGGAAAGCCTGGGCTTTCTTGCCGAGGTTTTCAAGCGCACTCACGGCTTGGAAACATCTCACGTTAGCTGAAGAAATTCATAGAACTCTAGAATGCGGTGGGTTGGGAGGAGTTTTGCAGATGGTCTCATCCAACCCCATATCCAGAGGAGGAGCCCACCACTGGGACGCTCCAGGCAGGTGCCCACTCAGGCTTTGCTTGAAGGCTCCACCGAAGGTGTCGAGCTCCGGCAGCTGATTCATCTGAAAGTGAGGTAATGTGAATGAGAACTTCAGTGAGTTTCTTTAACCAGACTTATTGAAAGGGAGTGGAAAAATTTTTGGCAACTGGTCTCTTTCACTTTGGAACCTCTGAGACTTTTTCAGGGTTTTCCTAACAGACTCTCTGTGAACAGATGAAATAACTTAGAAATGTGCAGATGGTCAAGGATTTTCCAATCACCTCTGACTCCCTCTCGGGCTCTGAACAGACCATCACTCCCAGGGCAGTCTGCTCCACTAATGAACAGCTCTTACTATTAGATACCCAGTCAAAATCTCCTTCCTTATAATTTAAGCCCATTGTTGTTTCTTCTCCTGACTTCTGGAGCACCCTGAAGAATTCAGCCCTGGCTGACATGACATGACATGATAGCCCTTCAGATACTTGATGAAGGCAGCTATTGTGTCTCCCTGCTGCAGCCTTCTCTTCCCCAGGGCCTCGGTCTCTTAAGTTTTTCCTTCCAGGCTCTTATAATCTTGGTTACTGTTCTCTGGACACATTCCAGTTTGTCAGCATCGTTCCTAAAATGTAGTGCCCAGAACTGGATGCAATTCTAGGTGCAATCTGACCAGTACGGAATAGAGAGGAATGATGACTTCTCTTGATCATGACACTAACCCTCTGTTGATACAGTCTAGGACAACATTTTTTTTTAAAGCCGCATCACACTTCTGGCTTGTCTCTCGCTTGCAAGGCACCACAATCCTTTTCACATACAGTGCCACACAGTATGTCTCCCTGATCCCATGTCTTTAATTTTTCTTACCCAAAGAATGGACGATGCATTTGTCCACGTTAAAGTTCCTCTTGCTACTTGTACCAACTTGCTAGTTGTACCCATTGTACCAGCTTTCAAAGCGTTTCTGAATCTTGATTCTGTCCCCTAAGTGGTATGCTGTTTCTCCCATCTTTGTGCCATCCGCATATTTAACAATCATATTTTCTAACCCCTCAAACAAGTCATTTATAAATGTGTTCACCAGCCCAGGATCTAGCTACTCCACCCAACACTTCCTTCCAGTGTTACATGGAACCATATCAATATACTGGTTGGGTTCAATTTTTCAACCCACTCTGTATGCATCTAATGGTAGCTGAGTCCAGTCCAAGTGTTGCCATCATCTGTACTAGGATTCCATGGGAGACTCTGTTGAAATTTTTGCTGAAGTCAAGGTTCATCTTTAAAAATAATGGCTTTAAATTACAAGGAAGTAGATTTCAGTGGACATCAGGAAATTTCCTAATTGTAAGCGCTGTGCAGTCGTGGAACAGACTCCTTCAGTAAATGCTTTTAAACAAAGCCTGGCTGGCCATCTGCTGGGGGTGCTGCAGCAATGGTTCCCTGCACTAGGGGGGTTGGGCTCGATGACCCCCAAGATCACTTCTAATCCTGCATTCTGTGACGCAGTAAATCTGCCACATTCCCACTGTCAACTAAACTGGCTATTCTCTCAAAAAAAGGAGATCAGATGGGTTTGGCATAATTTGAAAAACCATGCTGGCTTGTGCTAAGCAATGCATTCTTTTCTAAATGCTCAAATATCAATTGCTTAAGTAATCAGTTCTAGAGTTTTGCAGGTATTGATGTCAAGTTGATAGATCTGTGGTCTCCCAGAACCTCTTTTTTTTCCATTTTTGAAGATAGGGACAACATATGCTCTTCTTTAAAGCTCTGGCATCATGCCCATCCTTCGCAGTTTTTCAAAGATCTCAGAAAGGGGCTCCAAAGTGACACCCATCCACAATTTCCGTCAAGACTCTTGGTTGTAATTGGTCTGTTCCTGGAGACTTAAGCTGGTTCTGGATAACCAGGTATTCTCTAACAATCTCCTTGTGTCAGTGTTTCTGCTTAGTTCCATCTGACTATAGTTTCCCTTTGAGGAGAAGACCAAAGCAAAGTGATTGAATTGCTTTGCCCTCTGAGTATCACCTGTGCATCCACAAGTGTTTCTTAAGCTGCCTGGCCCTCACTTTTTTACTTTTTTCATTGCAGGCTCTCTTCTTTCTCTTCCACAAGATTCAGCCTCTGGAACAATTTTTCCCTCTTCCAGCCCATCTTTTGGCAGGAGTCACTCATCTTGAAAATTCATCCCATTATCCACAAATCCATATTGCTCCTGTTGGCACCCACTGAATAGCCAGTTGTTCGCTTATAGTACTTTTCTCTGTCTTCCTGGGCCACACACTTCACCCCCTGTGCTTGTGGCACCTCTGCCTTCCTGCCCAACACCAACGGTCCCCTGCAGTGCCTCCAGGGCTTTGTCTGACGGTGTCATTAGTCCCCTTGTGGATCAGGAGAGAGGGATGGTTCTCTTGGGAGTCCTTCCACCACGTCTTTGATCAGTGCTTCAGGAAGGCAGCAGGCTTCTCTTTGTAGACCATCCTGGCAACAGATGGCTGCTGATGCATCAATAAAGTGTTGAGATCGTGGGCAATAATAGTTCCTCACTGTGCAGCAGTGGACAGACGAACCTCGAATACTGTGGCCAGTTCTGGTCAACACAGGGCAAGATTGGTCAGTTTTCCCTTTTGCTCCTCCTGTTCCAAGAAGGCAGCCAGCTTGCATGGTGGCATGTATACCGGAAGTCCTCAGGTTTTGATGGCAATCAGTGCAATGTCACATGATCACGTTGCTTAGTGACAGCAATCCAGGCAATCCTGGTTGCTGTCGTAACCCCAGGGCCACGTGGGTTAGTAAGCAGGAAGAGGTGGGAGTCCCAGGCAAGCAGGCCAGCGGCTGAAAGCTGTGGGTGAAAGCTACAGGTGAGTAGGGAGGTGCTGTGGGTGGGTGCTACAGAGCACAGGCGGGGGGTGCTGCAGGCAGGTGCTACGGGGTACGTGGGTGCTGCCAGGGGGCGGGGAGTGCCATGGGCAGGCGCTATGGAGCAGAGGTGGGTGCCACAGGCAGGCACTACAGCATGCGAGTGGGCGAAAAAACAGCGGGTGCGACTTCCAACTTCCTGCCGGCTTCTCCATTGACTTTGCTTGTGGGAAGCTGGCAGGGAACATCAAAAATCACAATCATGTGACCACAGCTCGCTGCAACATCATAATTGCGAGCCTGGCACTGAGCCCACATCACCATCATGTGAACACGGGGATGCTGTGATGGCCAAAACCAGTCATAAGTCTCCCTTGTTCAGTCCCCCTTCATAACTGAACAGTTGCTGAACGAGTGGTTGTAACCTGAGGACTACCTGTAGTTCTTGTCTTCCAGGGAGAAAACAAACACAGCACATCTCCTGCCAGTCATGCGGTCCCTCCATCTCTGTTTTCCTCTGAACCACAAACAAACAAATGTGCTTTCCTGACCAATCTCCTGACTCCTCTCTTAGTGAACTCACTTTCCAGAAGTGCTTCCTTCTACATCCTCTGCCCTCAGCTCAGCCAGCAGGAAGCAATGCCCCTTAACCATACCAAAGTGGGCAGCGGGCAGCACTCGGGAAACAACTGGCAGTAGGCAGCGCTTCGCTTTCCCTCTTCTCTGCCTCTTCCCTTTCCTTACCTGAACTCCATGCCCAGGCCCTCTTTGCCCGTTCCCTCACTCAGGATTAACGTAGATGACACCTCAAAGAGGATCTGGACGTGGGGTGGGGTGAATGTGTGTGCGTGCATGAGACCAGAGCGGCGATGGAGATGGAAGCAACTCTTCGGCCCCCTTTTTTGTGGAGTGGGCCTGTGCTGTGTGTGCTTCACGAGAGCCGGGAGGGAGTTTCCAGTAGGAGCGTCTGGGCCAAGGTCTGGCTGCAGGGCAGTGGGACTTCCCTCCGCTCCCTCACTTTCGGGGCCACCCCGTCTTCCCTGGCAGTTCTTTCCAGCTCCTGTACCCCTTTGGCCTGGCCCTGCTGCTGTTTCCACAAGGAGAGGACTT